ACTGAACTACTTAAAAAACGAATTCATCATTCGATTTATTTCGTTGACCTCTACTTGGTACACCCTCGTCGTTATACATATTTAAACAAGACGACAAATGTGTATATTTTTGAACAAGTTCATTAATTTCTCCACGGACGTTGATGTGCTGCTGGCGGTTGTCGAACAACACGTCTCAGTTGATTTCCAATTGACCCTGTAACTTCGGGCCACACCGATTTCCCCTTTGATATTGCATCACATCTGAATGGACGACCACGATCATGAGCAATCAATTTTTGAAATCGACCAGTGTGTCCACCCAGATCATAAGTCGGACGATTTACATATCCAAATGAATAACAGCACAAGAAAAGAAGAACAAGACAAATTCTGATGTTGATAAGTAACATCGTTATTTTAGATGGACGAAAGAACACGAGAAAAAACAAAAGACAAAGGACCACAAAAAAAATTATCTTATTTTCTGATTGTCTCGATCAAACTTTTTAAAAAGATATAACATGGTAATTGTTTTACGAAGTATGAATGGCGCGTTTGAAAGAAAGAAACGAAAAGAATAACTAAATTTGTTTTTTGAATGTTTCAAATTGAGAATAATGGAAACGATAGACAGGGTTTAAAATTATTATTTTCAAATGCATTGATGACATGTAACAAATTTTATCCATCTGATAACTGAATAAAGTTTTCTCGTTTTTGAAAATTGAATTCTTATTTTTCATTTACAAAATAAAACAATATATGTAAGCACCGCAAAAAACAATATGAGGAAATGTATCATCTCTCAAATTGGTATTGAAGAATGATTATATTCTTGAAACAATACTATTAAATAGATCAATTTCTTGTTGTGACATATAATAACAAAATTATTCTACTATCTACTGTATATGTAGAATTTCTAGCTGTCCATCGACAACCGTCTTTGTATAGTTCCATTTGACTGAAAGTATAGGATCATACACATAAAAAAAGCAAATAATTCCACTGCGCTTTGACTAGTATGCCGCTGACTATCGTCGTGAACTTGAAGTTCCATCTCATTCGAAACAGTACAAAATTCTTGACAAGAAAATGTTATTTAAAAAGCTTAAAAATGTTGTTGTCATATTGAGAGCGATGCTGACATTATCGTTTTCTGATCACAATGTCTATTCTACGCCGCAAAGGCGGAGATGCAATAATGTCATTTTTCATCCTATCAATCTTCTCAAAAAGTTATCGATGGGCGTGATTGACAGAAACTTGTATAGTCCGAATTTCAGAACATCAAGGAGAAAAGTTCTCGGAAAACCTTTCATCCTTGGTCATTCTGAGGAATCTCTAGATTTTATTTTACCCCCTGCCATCGTTGATCTATTCGGTTTTAAAGAAAGATTGAAAAAAAAACATACACAACAGACCAAATTAATGGGGGAGCGAAAGCGATTTTTCGACGAAGTAACTGAAAGTAACTCCATGTTGAAAATTCCATTGTTTTTATGCTCTCTCACTAATAATAATCTACTGCTTTTTGTTAAGTAGTAGTAGCGTTAGAAAATGACGAGATTGCTAAGAAAATGCTTCAGCTTGTCGACGAGACTAATCAAATGCAACGATATATTGAAAAAGAAAAATGAAAAGATGGCTCAGCTACGTTAATTATCGTCCATTTCTAGATGTTAAATATCATTATATCTTTGAT